ATTTTTTCTTATGCTCTAAACAATGTAATGACATGAAAAAATACTAAATTCACAAAGCTTTTTATTTCTGGTTCTCAGGAGGATATTTTCCCAATCCGCACCTCGTGGAAATGAATGGTGCAGATGCGCGGTTTCATTTAAGCGTGCATGTGTATCGCTCGTGGTCTTTTCAGCCATCTCAATATATATGAGTGCATGAACACACAACTAGAACTGCTAGAACTGCTCTGAGTCACTTCATGAGCATTTTACAATTTCTTTATTATTAATTAATTATTATAACCATAATAACCATATTTGGGTTGATGTATATGCTTTTATTTTATTTTTTCAATTAACTGTTTTTTTTTTCAAAGCATTGTTAGATGCAGTGTTTCCTGTAGTTATGTGAAGATTTGGTTTCAAAAACAGTATCAGTAAATTATTTCTTATGATTTTAAATCTGCATTGAACTTCAGATCAATCTCAAAGTAAAAGGCGGTACTAAAGTCTGATTTTGTAGTGGATGTGTTCAGTTATTATCATCTTAATTCAAGTGCTGAAGGATTTTGAAAGTCTGACAGTAATCAGTGTTGAGCACTACCGTAAGGTTACCTCTGCATGGTGTAAATGTTTGAAAATGATTAACAGTTGAAAACATTCATTAGAAATTTAGAAAAGTAATCAAAAAGTAATCAAAAGTAATCAGTTACATTACTTTAATAAAGTAATTTAAAAAGTTACACTACCATTACATTTTAAATAGGGTCACTTGTAATCTGTAACCGATTACATTTTCAAAGTAACCTTCCCAACACTGCTGATTCGCATCTTTGGTGTGGCGTCATTCATTAGAAGGAGACATGAAATGCTTGGTGTTCCCTCCCTGCTTCATAGTAACACTTTCATGTGTGGACAATGATTCTCAGAATGAAGACAGCTGCTATTGCGGAGTATTGCTTTTGTTGAAACTGGGATCAACAAGCTGCGAATCATTTGAAAGTGGCTGCTATAATTGCAGCTGACCACTAGATGTCACTGGTAGGGTCTGTCTTTGAGGCTTTAAAGCTTTGAATCTTTTTTGGTACAATCAGGAAGAAGCCTCAAAAGATTCATCTGCCCATCTCTAATAGAACTTGACTGAATAAGACTTACCACTTCCAATATGCCCGTGGACAAAAAAGCCAAAAAGTGCTAGAGAAAATCTGCAACACAAACAAATGTTAAACACACTTTGCTTTATAGAAATAAACAAAACAAAGGACAGAAACAACAAATTAAGACTAAACCTTAAGAGTTGGACAGTGGTATCATCCATGTTCAGCAAAAAAAAAAAAAGAACCGTAACAAAACCAATACAAAATCAGGAGACACATTTGTCTCAAACAAATATTACTCCATTACAAGTAAAAGTTGTAAAGATAGATTTTAATTTAAGTATAAAGTACAGAAGTACTTGCTTTTAAAAGTACCAAAAGTACATTTCCTTTTGTATGTCAATGCACTGTTTTATTATTGTTGTATGTAATACTTGCAATACCTCTGAAGCAACTTACAATACATTACACCTACTGAATACACTGACTAGTTTGTAGTATCTTTGGAATAAAGAGCTTTTAGAATGTTAAAAACCTATGGGGAAAAAATATATATATATTATTTAACACCCCTACCCACCCCCACAAAAGCAGGATGGTAGTGATCTCACACAGCTCTGGACACATCTATGTGTAGCCATTCATCCACATTTGAACAGAGTGGACAGTGAAATTGCTGTAAATACAGACTGATAAGGAAGAAAACAAAAAAATCAAACCTGCTTTAAAACCCAGCAACACAACTGTAGCTGTATAACTTTACAACAGCAACACTGCTTTAGCAAAAAAGCAAAACATCAAGACTTATTTGACATCAAAACAAAAATTTAAAAAATGCTGTCTAATCGCTGTACTTTGATGTCATACACAGAATGGTCTGTGCAGTGCTGCTTCAGTCAAACACCTTTGTGTTTTATTAGGAGACGCACAACAGTTCTTCTGTGGCTTTATTGGTAATATTTTCACTTATTTAGCAAAATCACTAATTTAGCAAAATCAGACAATATTGTGTCTAATATAAACCACAATATTAACTTCTTATTATTGAATTGTTGTAAATAAATATCACATTTGGAACTGGTCAGTGCTCAAAAAATGCTGGGAAATCATTTCATGTAGGCTAGCCCCAAGAGTGATTACTGATATTCTTAATAATCTTAATAGAAATGTAGTGGAGTGAAAAGTACAATATTTTTCTTTCAAATGTAGTGAAGTTAGAGTCATAAGTTTCCAGAAAAAAATAATACTCAAGTAAAGTACAGATACTCAAAAAGTGTACTTAAGTACAATACTCATGTAAATGTAATTAGTTACTGTCCGCCTCTGATTTTATGTGATACGCTGTCATGGCATTCGACACGTGCAGAAGTAGGTAGACCCAGACTGACAGCTGGCATCTGAAAAAAAAAAAACTTTAAAGATTATTTACGATTAATTATTGTTGCCAAGTTATCTAGTCGTTGCTTGTTTACAGTGCTACAGCAGTTTGTTAGAGATCGCGATCTATCTCATTTGTTTGTCTAAAGAATTGCCGACAGATATGAACGTACACAAGTTACGCCATAATTTAAACGCGGCAGATTTTAATAGACAGTAAAACAAAGGCAGAATACCGTATAACTCCAGGCTGGCACAGTAATATTGACGAATGGCTAAACAAATGTAGAGCACCATAACTTAATTTGAGCGGTCTAAAACAGTCAAAGAGCGGTAACTGATGATACTGTGTTGTGCCTTGGTTTTTCTCCGGGGCTTTTCTCCAAGATACTTATTGATAAAGGAGGTCATATATGTCCCAAAATTATCAATAACTAATTTTCGACCAAAAACGAAGTTATGGTGTTTTGTTTTTGCACGACAGCATTGCTGTCATCATAGACAGGCGTGCTTTCAGCAACCAGGCACCCACATCCCGCCTTTTTGCTCATTTTCGATTATCCGGGAGTGACGCGCTGCCAAGATGGCAACGGTCGGCTCCGCCCACTTTAGGCTTAAAAAATGCACTTCAGAAAACTACGAGTGACGTCACAGACACTACGTCCGTCCCTGCGTCTCAATGTTCATACTATCCATACTAAATAGTATGTGAGATTAGAATAAGTGTGTCCCAAAGCATAGTATGTTGAAAAGAGTATGCCAGGGATGTCAGTGGTTCAACTGTAAAGTTACGAAGCCACGAGAATACTTTTTTGCTCAAAGAAAACTAAAATAATGACTTTATTCCACATTTTCATCCCTACTGCGTCACTTGTGGACGCGTGTTCACGACAGTATCATGACACGAGCATGTGGCGGCGCCACACGCTCGTTAAAGGTCACATATTTTACACATTTCTGGAGTTTTATTTTAAGTCTTGATGTCCTTAAGAATATATATTTGCGGTATAAGTACCAAAAACCATCTCAATATATTTTTTTACAGCTCCTCTCTCAGAAGCTCTGCAAATAACAGGTCGATTTTGGCCTGTCTAATTAATATTCATGAGCCTCTCTTCTGATTGGCCTGTTGTTTTCTGAGTGACGCACGGCCAGGCCAACCACAGGTAACTAGGGTCATGTATGCTGTAGCCTGCTGTGGATTGATGATACTCACAAGTAAGGTCAATAGAAACACAGTGAATGATGGTCACTGCTGAGGGAAATGTCCGGGCCTTACATGTTTGAGCCGAACTCAGACCCCGAATCGGCGACGACAGGAGACAACCAACCACCTCCTCAAACGTGCTTACAACAGGATGTTTCAGAATGGTAATTAATGTTGTTGTTTTTTTTCAAACACAGAATGCAGTAAATATAAACCTGACCAGCTGAGCGTTTGTGATCACGTGAACTTGAAGACACTTGTACAAATGCGGATAGGTGACTTGAATGGAAATTATTCCAGATTGGCGATGTAGTATTTGGTTTCTGTATTCTGTACTGTATTTTCCTGTGCTCAAACCTGCCAATCTAAAGGATCAAACACCGTGTATGGCGTTTGAGGTAATTTGTGAATTAGCATAGACTTATAGTCCAAATAAAACAATTTGCAACTGTTACTATTATTACACTTGTATACAAAACTTTGTATTATGCTTGTTATAGAGTATGACGTCGCGTGCACTATGTTTGACGTGGTTGTCACGGCGACCGTCACAGCCCTACTGTGCAATGATGTAGTTTCCTGACATCCAGACTGAACAGCGTTTTCTCGACATGTTTCCGTGTTGTTATTGCTCAGCAGCAATGGCATGGACGCGATGTTGTCTGGGGGTTTTCATCAAAAATATCTTAAATTGTGTTCCGAAGATGAACGAAGGTCTTACGGGTTTGAAACAACACGAGGGTGAGCAATTAATGACAGAATGTTCATTTTTGGGTGAACTAACCCTTTAACGAGTGCTGAAAGAGTACGTACTCTACAGCCACATCTCGTTGAGTATGAATGCGATCCATACATCATCCGCCATGTTGACGTTATCATGTGACTTAAGATGTTACAAGCGCAACAACTTAAAAGATACGAGCGACAGGTTTAATAACCTCTATCTGTAAATATTTTGATGTTGATGAAATTTGCCAATTTTGTGGTCTTGTTGGAGAAACAGCTGCCTTTTGTACAATACATTTTGGGTTGATTTAAGTTTTTATATTCAAAGATATTTACCCTTTTAATTTAGCCTTTTTTTTCTGTATATATTCTCATACAATGATGTACGCAAACCCATTGTATTTATGTTTTCTATTATGATTGTTCATTGTTAAAGATACAACCATTTATCCCTGAGCTTGTTAAGTAATTAAAAGTTCTGCAGTAATAATAATAAAAAGAAGATAAGAGAGGTGCACTAACACCTCACAGCATCAGTAACTCCACAACCCTACCTAGTACAGTTTTCTGCAGCGTTTGCAATGTCTGCACAAAGGTCTCCTTCGATCAACTGCTTGAAGATCTCGTCTTTGGAGTAGACTGCTGATATTATACTCCAAAAATGTAAGTATTACTACTTAAAAAATAAGATTACCCCAAAATGCATTGCTAGCCCACCCCGACACTTACAATAATGATAAATGCTGACCAAAAATTAATTAATTATATAATTTTAGTAAAACAAGCAAAATGAAATTTGTTTTGTCATATGCCATGACTATGCATGAATGCACACTAGACAAATGCAGCCAAAGTGAATACATCTCAATTTTCAGTAAAGTAATTAATTAATTAAAAGTAATTAAGTTAATGAAACAATTATATTTGTTTTTGTTATATATTTTTATTTACTGACAACAACAGCAAACATGAATGAGTAAAAGAATGAATAAAAGTAACCATGAAAATCAACAACAAAGTCGACATCACATGTAACAAAGCTTTATTCAAACTTTTCTAACAATGATGTATTTACAGGCAGTGAATCCACATCCTACTGCCATCTCAACACAGTTCTGCGGCTTTATTCTGATGAAGCAGCTGACCACCGTGTCCACCTTCACCTGTCTTTGCTGTCCATCACGACCCTCATTGCTGCAGTCAGACTGAATCTGAT